AGCGTCTCCAGACAACAAGAGTCCACCATCTCTCTGCACAGTTTGTTTCAGGGCTTTGTCATCCTCAAAATAAAAAAGCCTTTCCTCATGCTCATATGGAACTCCTATGTTCCAGGTTGTGCCTGCTGCTCTTTGTACTCCTGCTGAGCACCACTTAAAGGAACCTGGCCCCATTCTCTTGACACCTGGCCTTTAGATGTTTGTAAATATTGATAAGATCTGTCCTCAGTCTTCTCCAGGCTGAACAGTTCCATGTCTTTGTCTTTTCTCATAAGTGAGATGCTCCAGGTCCCTCATTATCTTTGCAGCCCTCCACTGGACTCTCTCCAGAACCTAACTGTCTTTTTTGACAATTCTCCAGATGTGGTGTCACCAGGACAGAGTAGAGGGAGAGGATCACCTCCCTCGACCTGCTGACCATGTTCTTTTTAATGCACCCCACTGGCCTTTTAACACACACCACTGACCTTTTAATATACCCCACAATGTCAGTGTCACTGGTCTTCTTGGCCACATGAGCACACTGCTGGCCCATGGTCAACCTGTTCTCCAACACAACACACAGGTCCCTCTCTGCACAGCTCCCTTCTAGCAGCTCAGCCCCTAACTTGTACTGACGCATGCACTTATTCCTGTCCAGGTATAGGACTCTGAACTTATCCCTGTTGAACATCAAAAGGTTCCCATCCGCCCAAGTCTCGAGCCTGTCCAAGTCTTGCTGAATGGCAGCACAGCCTTCTGGTGTGTGTCAGCCACACACCAGCTTTGTATCCTCAGCAAACTTGCTGAGAGTGCATTCTATCCCTTCATTCAGGTCATTGATGATGTTGTACAACACAGGATCCTGAGGAACATCATTAGCTACAGCCTCCAACTAGATTCTGCACTACTGCACACAACACTCGGAGCTCTGCTAGTCAGACAGTTCTCAGACCACCTCGCTGACCATTGGCCTATCCCACACTTCCTGAGCTTGCTTAAGACGATGTTATGGGAGACAGTGTCAAAAGCCTTGCAGAAGTCAAAGTACACAGCATCCACTGCTCTCCTCCCATCTACTGAGCCATTCACAGTGTCATACAAGGCTACCAGATTGGTCAAGCATGATTTCCCCTTGGCAAATCCATGTAGACTACTTCCACAGCTTCTGATAATCTTCTTCTCATGCACTTGCTTAGAGATGACATCCAGAATAAGCTGTTCCATCAAGTAAAATGCTATTTATATCAAAAGCACTCAATCCCCTTCTATTTTTCTTCTAAGGACACCAAATTTGATGATTTCATACATAGTAAATTATATAATCCACAAAATGGTTTTACTGTCCATACATTCAGCTGTTGATTTCATCTCCATATTACCCTCTTAAGGGTGAGGACATTAAAAAGTGACTCACTTTTTGGTGAAAAGGTAGGGAGATGAACTTGGATGAAAGAAAACAGTAGCAATGAGACAAGGGAAAAAAAACTTAGTTTACTAAATATAGTGGTGTAATGTGAGATAACACAGTATAATACAATGTGATTGGAATTGAAACTAATAAATCAAATAAGATGAGGAAGAGTTTTCAAAACTGAAGTCCTTACTCTAATGTTGTAGGTAAAGCAGAGAGGGAGCAAAGAGGGAAGTCTCGTGGCTCTCAGATCATATTATCTTTCCCTCCAAACAGAAAACTGAAAAATGAAGTCTTCTGGGAGTTGTAGTTCATACTTTTCTTCTGAGACCAAGAGATCAGAAATATTGACAATCCATGGAAAGAGATGGAAAGCGAGGGGGAAAGGAAGAAAGACAATAAATAATCAAGTTTGCCTCTGAAAGTAAGCTTGTTTTAATTACTGTTAACATGTTGGGATTATAAGTCTGAGAATATAAAACAAAACACTTCCCAAACAGAGGAGAAACAAGGAGACCGACAGCTGTGTTGATGAGACAGATTGAACAACGTTCAGACACACAGATGTCCCACTTTCCAAGCACAGTGGCAACCCACTATTCTGCTATGTGGCTTTTACTATTTTGCTTTTACAAACTTATTTCCAGTAAGTCAGCCCCACAAACAGACATGCTGTTCAAGCAGCACGTTCAATGCTTTAAAAGCTTTAAAAGGCTCGTGGTAATGGACCGTGAAAAGACAGTAAGAACTTCAGCTTAGGAAAACAAGAGTTCAAAATAACGTTAGTAATATATTTTGAAAAAGAAAGGTATTTAAGTATCCCACCCCTTCAAATGTCATAGATGTTATGAGAGTGGTAATGGCACCAATAGATATTTCTGAAAACTTCTTTTATTCCTTAGAAATAGAATATATCTTCTGGAGATAAAAATAAGACAAAAGAGTTGCACATTCATTTTTTGTTTTATTTTAGAAACACGTATTTTGATAATAGTTATCTATTAGATATAAGGAGAAACCCACTCTGTAATTTTTCTTTATTATTCCTGAAATTAAAAGCATAGCACAAACTAAATCAAAGAGAAAGCAATCTAAAATAAGAATAATTGAAAACATATGTAGATCATCACAGAGGCAGCAGAAAATATTCAAATATTCTGGCAGCTGTCAACACTGTATACAAAGAACAAAAAAGTAGTAGAAGAACAAGAAAAAAGAGTGCTTAAGTTTTAGCTCACTTATCTTAAAAGTTAGGAAACTGCAACAGTAATAAGTGTGACCTTGGGGCTACTTTCAGTTAGAGGCTTCAATACACACTGATTAGGTGCGTGCAGACAGAGTTTTTGCAAAGTAGACAAAACCCGAACATGGTATGGAAATACCATGCTTCCAAGCACGGCCTCCACAGCCAACTGTTGGAAGTCAAAGCCAAAGCCGGTTTGCTCCTCCTATTTGCAGATGCACTTAGCATTCATTCCCTCTCCTTTTCACAGTTAAGTAATTTCACAAAGATATTAGAAGACTTCAACTTGAATTTCAGATATATGAGTTTAACTCAATAGCTGCCATTCACACTTAGACTTTAATAACATTAGATTAATAACAAAAGACCAGTCATGCTGAGTCTGCCTAATGCTCTACCTCGCCCAACACAGTTTCTCCACATCTAGGTAAAAGGCCTGTGGACAGTAACTTGTGGTCATGTAAGAATGCCTCCAGAAAACATAAAGACTCTAAATTTTTCAGCACTCTGGAAAATGGATCAGGCTTTCCATGCATGCTATTCTTGTTTTAACTCACCTTGTTAAGTAACCAGCTGTTTTCGTTTCTCCTTCTACCAGAGAGTACTATATTCTTTAGTGAAAAACCAGGAGAAATGGAAGGACTGCAAGGAGAAACTGTCATAAAAACGTATAACAAGAGTGCTTGAGAAACAGAAGTGAAATCTGTCAAGAGAGGAACTTCAGCTTCTGAGAACCCGAAGCTCACATTTAGCTGGCTTAACTGATCGTACCAGTCAGTAATTTTAACCATGACAGGCCACAAAAGCAGACAGCTGACCTTTGCATATTAATTCATGCTTGGGAAATCTATACCTTTCAGTCGCAAGCAAAAAGATCACCACAATGGGCACAATTTAAGCTAGCAACATGAGTATTTTGAACAAATTTTTTAAAATGTGGCTTGCAGTCCTTCTATTCTTGAAAGACAGCGTTTTTCCTGCCTCTGTGAAAAGACTATGAATACTTCAGCCTTGCCCAGGCATGAAACTAGCATGATTCTACACTACTGTATCAGCCATGTTTACATATAAACTGACCAGAAATACTTCACATTAGTACTCTGTTGGTGGAAAGAAAAAAAAGCAGCGCAAACAGTCCAGAAAGCCACTACAGTTATTTTTAGAGAATATGTAATACATGGCAAGAAAGAATCTGTGGAGTTTACCAAACATAAGAGAGGGAAAAAAGAAAGAAAGGAGGAAAAGAAAGGGATCTCATTAATGCATCAACCCAAAATTTGCTGGGTGAGTCTCTAGCATCTGTTCTTTATAGCAGATACACAGAAACAACCATGGCTGGTCACTTTCAGAGAAGTCAATAAAGACAGTACAATTACAAGAAACTTTAACTTCTATACAAATTCGTGATGGAAAAAGAAAAAAAAAAAATAAAAAGCCTGAATAAATATCAGCAGTGTAAGCTTTTACACCTTCATTATTGCCCCTAAAATTATTAGAACAGAGATCTCACAGACCACCGAAACACGCAATGTGAAAGAGGTAGCACCTTTAATCTCATGAATGTTCCATGTCAGAATTCTTTCCAGTCTCAAAAAAAAAAAAAACCAGAGAAATGAGACAGGTAAATTTTTAAAGAGTAAGATAAATCTTCAACATCAGCAATCCCCATTAATTGGAAGCTCCTCCTCTTTATCCTCTATCCCTGCCTGGGACAAGGAATATGCTGCACTAGGAGCACAGCAGGGCTGTCAGTCTGCCCCCTCGCAACTCCCCTTTGCTTACATTTTAGGGTATTTATAGAAGCATAGTAACAAGACATATGTCATATACATGCTTAACAATAATTGTAAACATGCATACAAAATATACACAGATACACACTTATATATAATATCAACTATGCACACACAGATAAAACACAGCCATGCCCAGCGTTTATTCCTTCCCTGGCAGTTACTTTTTCATTCAATTACTCTAGCAAAATTAGACTTCCAGATAAAAGGAGCTGTTGAGTGATTGTTAAAACCCTCCATGCTATAGCACTAATGACAATAATTGAAGGTAGAGAGGAAGAAAGAAATTGACTTCTTATTTAAGGATGTAAAATTTTGTCTGCTCCTTGTCCCACTTTATTAAAAAAAAAATAAAAAAATTGCAGAGTCACATTTTCGGTCTGTGAAAGAACTGTCAGATTCTGAAACCTCATTTTCTATAACCAGTAATGGTCTACTGAGAAAATTACATCAAATTACAGAAATATGGAACATCCTTATTAAAAAAATATTGTAATGGGCAACTTGGGTTTTCTTCAAGCCTTCATGAAAACGGTTTAGTATTTGTCAAATAATAATTTACAAACCTTACCTGTTTAGTTCTTGAAGTTGCCTTGGGCAACAGACTTGCTGACAAAACTGATGCAAATGGAGAACAACATAGCTCAGGAAAAGGATTTGGAATTGATGGGATTTCCAAAATCTTGCCGTCTGTCTTTTTTCTCCTGTTCAATAAAATACAGAATAATAACTATCACAAAAACTGCCATTAGAATTGCAGTAATCAACTACATTGCATGCCATGCTAAGGCACCAGTACCCCGATAGTTGCTAGTTGCAGCAATTAGCTTCTTGTACGGTTATTTTTTAATCAGTAGGCTGAATCTATTAACATACAGTGCTTAATTCTACTTGAAAGCAATCCAAGTATTCAGCTCTGAATATAAAGTTGTTTGAATACGGGTAAGTCTTTGCAGAGTAAGAGCATGGATATATTTACATTGGCTCCTAAGGACATTGGTAAATATTTTGTTGTTCCTGTATTCATGCCATTCCCTATGTACAAATATTACAACAGCGGATGCATGTAACTTCTCAGTAATACTTCCCAAGCACATCACAACTACATATCAATCAAATAGAAACTTTTTTTCCTCCAGAACCAGGAGTCAAAGTGATTGACAAGACAGAACAGGGCAGAACAATACACTCATTTCTGTCTCCAATTACTTTTGTGTTTGAATCTCCATAACCCCACCACACTACAAATGGCTCAGTAGTTTCTGGCGACTTAAATCTAATTGTGTCACAAATATCAGCAAGCAGCACTTGCAAGAGTTGGGAAGATAATCACTACTATACTTGCAGAAGAGTTCCATTAGGCACTGGCTCAAAATATTACATTAATAAGACGGTGAAATAAGACGCTGCTGCGTTACAGGACATGGCCGTCTTACACAGAAAATATCAAGGAGCACTTTTTCTGCTTGATTTCATTTGGGGAGCAGGACCCAAAACACCCCAGGTATTTTAACCTGCCAACAGATAACTAGACCCTTCTGCATGTGTGAGCTGATAGCTCCAAGCTTAATATTTATTACATTCATCGGTGTTATTCTAGATGTTGCATACTGATTGGTACAAAAGTGTAGGAAACCATCAGAGTACAGTAACTGTGGAACAGCAATGGATCTCTTAATGGAAACCCACGCAGAACCTTCACTTAAAGTGGTACTGAGCACTAAAAAAAAGAGTAGAAACTATCCGTCGTATGCGGTCTTTCGATACATCCTGAACTCCAGTCTACCAAAACCGATCAGATGCGTCATAAAAAGCCCAGTCACACGTTCCTCGCCCAAAACCAGAGCTCCATGGCTTGAATGGTCAGCCCTAGCGGCTCCAGCCCGGCGGCACGAAGAGGGCTCGCTCTGCCCGGCGCTGCCTGTTGAGGAGGAGCGGCTCCCTTCGCCCCGAGCGGGCAACGCCACCTCTCTTCACCTCAAACTGAGAAACCTCTTTTAAGAAAAGGGAACAGTGGGAGATGCTCCGCATCAACTGCATTTCGTAAAACCTCACCTCGCAACTTTTCAGTGCGTTCTGGGGCCAGAAGCTGGGACTGGGAGCCCTCCCGCCCGCCTTTACCTCTCCCCTCAGCGCCAGCCCCTCCCGCAGCGGAGCCGACCGCTTGCAGCACCGCGAGGCAACTTCGCACCACGCGCAAGTCGTGCCCGGCCGCCCCTCCTTCCACAGCGCCCTCCCGGCGTCCCAAAGCCTCACCTGTCGGGGGGCGGCGGCGGCGGCTCCCCGCTCGGAGCCCGGGGCGGCGGCCTGGGGCAGCGCACCGCGCCGCGAGAGCCGCTGCCTGCGGGCTCTGCCGCCCGTCCGGCGCCGGGCGGTGCACCGGGCCACGGGGCGGCCATCAGCGACGGGGACGTCCCGGCTGCGCGCGGGCGGCACGTCGGCCGGCGGCCCCGGCGCCGCCGGGCGGAGGCTGCTCTGCCGCGGAGGAGGGAGGAGGTGGAGGAGAGGGGGGTAAGCGCCGCCCGGGCGGCGAGCCGTACCGAGCGCCTTCCCCGGCACACACGTGCGCGGGCGGCGGCGGGGGCGGGCGGCCGCCGGCTCCGCGCCGCGGCGGGCAGGGGGAGGAGGCGGCGACCCGCGCCCTGCAGCCCGCCTCCTCCTTGGCGGCGGGACCGGGCGGCGCGGGCAGGTGCGCGGCCCTCGCGTCAGCTGCCCCCCTCAGGGCATCGGGACGGGCCGTCGCTGTGGGAGGGGGCGGCGTGCTGCCGAGCGGCGCCCGACGGCGGCGACGGCGCGGGGTACCGCCCGCCGCGGGGCTCGGCCTCCGCGCCTGGTCGCTGAGTAAGGCTTCCTCCATCGGTGTCTGTGGCACCTCGGCCGCCCCTCGTGCCGCGATGGGACCCGCCGCTGCTGCCGTCTGCGGGCAGCCTGCCCCGGCAGCTTTCTCAGCGCCTTGCAGGTCATTAACCGAGCTGCCCGATCCCTCTGTGAGGTCGGGAATTCACGATTACGCCTCGCAGAAATGCGGAGTGAGCAAAGCTGGGAAATAAAGCCGTTACCTTAAAGCCGAGCAGGCAGCTTGGGGAAGAGCTGCGTTCCTAGCTGGGCCGAGGGCGCGCGTTCGGCCTCAGCTTCCCCGGAGCAGAGCGGGAAGGTTTGCTCCTCGTGAGGAAGCTCCGGCTCTGCTTCAGCTACACGCGATGCCAACCATGTGGCAGCTCCACGGCTGTTCTTATCAGCGTTCATCCAATTACTCAATAAAAATACCCCCTCTCTGCGTGGAGAACAGTTTCACAGCATGAAGTGGAATGTGTAAAATCACGTAAGCCATTGAATAGGATAGAAAGGTAAAATAATTCAGAGGTTGCGCTCAAGCCCTGGCAGAAACAGCTGTATGTAGAAACCTGATTTTCCTTAACTCGCTCAGAAGCAGAGCTGACATCTGACTGATGAGAATAGAGAGTGCTTTGGGATAAACATGTTTTTCTGTTTTCCTGAGCCCACTGAAGAAATTCTCCCACAGAAGCCAAAATTTTGAATTGGAGAAAGATGATATCTTTTTTTTTTTCCTGAAATAGAAGCAATAATCACAGTTTTCATTTTAGCTGAGTTGCAGATGATTTTGCAGGATATTTTTTTTTCAATGAAACTAAGGATCCCTTGTCTTGAGAACAGTTCATTCTGTGTTCTGCTGACAGCAGAAGTGCAGGTGTGAGTTGATTGAGAATTCTTATATACAGAGACTGGCAAACAGATCCAGAATTTTACACTGTCAGATGATTGATTTGATTTGTTTGTTGCTTCCAAAGGGCTATCCTTTTATACATTTGCACAGGCCAGACTAATTCTGTCTGATTCACTTGTATGTGGCATACAAAGCTTCACTTTCTTCAGAAGATTAGGAGGAAGGACAACTGTGTGTGTGTTTGGGTTGGAAAACTGGGCTCAGGAAGAGATAAGAGCCCTTCAAGCAGCTATCAGGTTTTAAAAAGTTCAACCATGGAAGGAAAGTATGTTTTGAGGTTTTCGGCCTATTTGGACAATTTATTTTGTAGCTACAAATTGAGGTACATGGTAGATTTTTGTGCATTAGGCTTCATCTCGTAATTGTTTTTAAATGGAAAGCAAATAGAACAACACAATTAGAATATTATCAAATAAATATTTACTTGCTTCAAAATAACTTTGCTAGGTTTCTAATGAGTCACGGCAGCAAAAGAGCCCCTTGTATAAAAAGATTTTTTAAAAAATGAAATGCTGTTATAATTTCACTTGAATGTAGTAATTTAAGAATTCTTAAATTCTTCTTGTAGACCATCCTTGTGCCTTCTGCTTTCTGTGCACAAACAAGACAATGCAGTCATCACAAAGCTGAGGCACAGGAAGACCTAAGGGATTGCTTCAGCGTAGCATAGGAAGCATTGTGTAGATGAGAATGTGGGACTAGTTTTTTCTGACTTACTTTCTCCTTTCAAACAACTGTAAGAATAAGAGATATTGCCAGAGTTTGACTGAAGAGATCTGAGAGCATTTGACCTGCACTCTGTTCGAGAGTAACATTTTAATTCTCTCTTTGAACAAGAACAAACCCAGTAATTGACGAACAATTACTAGTGCTGGTAATAAAAGGCTAGCAGATTTCTGCTAAGTCCTAGCACCAGAATACTTCTTGAACTGTGTGAATTGGCTTCATTTTTGTCATGAACATACCTAAGCTGCCTAGTCTACTTTTTCATACTTAGAACGAGGGCTATTCTACTGCAGAAGCTAAGACTTACATTTCCTCAAAGCCTAATTTCTGGGCATTCTTCAATCTTCAACTCAGTAGGTTTGTTTTCTCTCTAAAAAAATGTCAGTTTTTTATTATCCTAGTGAGATCCAGGTGTTTCTCAAGTAAAATTAAAAATACATCCTGAAAAACAGATTCAAGCTATTCAGTATGCACCCCACTTTCAGAAAATCAAGCTCTTCAGTTCTCAAAAGCCCATATGCTATTTAGAACCACAGCACTTGATTAATGTGATAAAATTACACCTTTAATTAGAGTAAGCTTTCACAGGTATTACTGACAAAGTTTAAAAAATCCAAACTATCTGGTGATTATCTCTAAAAATTGTGAAGGATTTTTTTACTCCCCCCTTCCACATGTTATCCCTTGTTTTAATCAAAGTATTTTGTCTGCTTTTTTTTAGACTTGTCTAAAAAACGTGACTATAGTGTCTTAAAGATGGTTCTGCATAGAAAAACAGTACCACACCTTTACACCATCTTCTGTCACAGTACCAATAACAAAGAATTGTTTCTACTGAACCTACTAGGTTGAACCAACGTAAGTAGTTTTATTTTCCCAATACAAGGCTATAACCATGCTCAAGTCTTATCTCCCAGTGTAGCGTTTCCTCTACAAGCTCCATCTGTAATTTTTGTGACTTCATTGTATCAATGCACTCAGAATATGCTGAATACACATTAAGTTTTCTTCCTTGTGGTCCTGACATCAGGAACTGTGGTGGTGTCATTGCGCCTTCTTGAGCACTTTGGAAGCTCATTTTTAGCTTTGACAACTGGCCCATCTGTTTGGGCAGTACTTCAAGAGAGCCAAATTTATCCCGTAAACACTTGGAGATATCAGTAGTCAACTTTTTGGCAGTCATGCATAACTCTTTGAAAGTTTATCTATGGTTGAATGTTTTGTAGGAGTTTTGCCTGTTGTTATAGCTGACATCGAATGTTAGGTTTAGAATTACTGCTAAAACGTGTATCTTTCATTGCAGATAAGGAAAAGGTTCCAAGGGATTAAATCAGTAATGCCGAGCCCAGTAGTTTCCAGAAGCTGCTATTCAAACTAATCTGAAACCTCCCTCCTCTATGCATGCTTGCACAAACCACACCACAGTAATGCTTCCCCTGACTTAATGTTCTCCTTCTACACTTCTGTCTAGAAGCAGATTTGTGCTGTGTCTTGTTACTTAGTTTGGGCTTGGGATTTTTCTCTATTGAAAAGTATGAATACTTAAGAGTACTTTTGTAAGAAACTTGAGCTTACGGGTGGATTTTACCTCTAGCTTTGACAACAGTGTTTGCTTTTTCAATAGCAAGTTCTGTGATTTCCTGTGACAGCTTTGACCTCAGACCAGAACATCTCCCTTCTGGAATGTCACCTTAAACTGCAACACATGAACAGAATTAAATTCATTGCAGGGTTTTGAGGATGATCAATCAAAACGAAATGAGATCTCATGATTTTAGAAATAGATCTTTGTAGCTAAATGCAAAAAATAAGGTTTGATATAGGTATGACTGGGTGTTATGCAGGGGCTGTCAGATGCAGGTCAGACAAAATGATATACCGGCTTCTGCTCCCTCAGTCTAAAGTTGTATGAAAACAATCATTCAGCAGCGTCTATAATAGACTGTACACTAGCTGATGTGATTTGCACTGGCCAACCTTGAAAATCTTTAGGGCACAAAGTTCCATTCCAATTAGAACCGTGAAAGATCCAGGTGAATGTTACATGTGGATGGATTACGTTGACTAAACCTTCATCTAATGGGTCTGAACCCAGTAGGCTACGTGTAGTCTTTTGGGTAGTTATGAATGGATGAACTGCATAATATACTGCCATGGTTATTTGTGGAAGAGAATTGTCAAGTGTCAGGGAGCTAATGACACTGCCAAATGCTCGTAATTACAGTGTTGCAGTGGAAGAAACAGTTTTATTTGAATACATTTCTCTGCTCCTATTAATCCCTTGTATATATCCGTGGGATAACTAATGTTTTCTTAGTGCCTCTGGAATAAATACAGTGAACAGTGAACAACTTTAAGTATCGCATAGCTGAGAAAATATGTAGTTAAATTTTAAAAGTAGTATTTCACATCAGTAGAGTATTACTGATACTTTTTGTATCCTCTTTTCTAGAATACCTTATACAAAGAGAGAACCCAATTTCTGGCCATGTGTATCTTCAGAATGTTGTACGCAAACATATTCACTACGGAAGGAAGGCTGCATGTTACTATGCTATCTGAGACCATTTGTGTTAATCCGCAGCACAGAAATTCAGGTGAGGTGACATGTTGGGAGATCAGATTAAAGATCCTTTAACAGTAGTCATTTTGTAGATGGGGAAACAAAATGCAAGCATTAAGTAAAACAAACAAAACCAAACCAAACCACCAAGGAATGTAGTGCTAAAAGGAGACCTTTTTACATACAACCACACCACTCCTAAATCCCAGCCATTTGTGAGTTGCTGCCAAGGACTCTGAAGCAATAGTACAAAAGCTTACCTTCTGATACGCATGAGGGGAAAGGGAGATGAGGAGCTATTTGGGGCAAAATAATATATATATATATATGGTCAGACTCACATAGGTTAGTATTTAAATTCTGCTATCAAAGTACAAGTTTGGTACAAGAAATTTATAGTCAAAATGGATTATGTATTTTTGAAAAAAAAAATGATGTACAGTGACTCATCTACCTAAATGCAAACTTCTACTAATTTAAATACCTATTCTACCTTGTCCTAGGGAGAGATGGGTTTCGTGTTCATCTGCTGTCATATGTGACAGCCCAGTATGTGTTTTAGCTATTCTTGGACTCTAAATATGGCAGCAGACACTTGTGTTTAGGTGCCTAAATTTTACTTACATTGTTTCTTCTCTGCTTCTCCAACATGCAGCTCACAATATAGATTGTCTATGAACTTATGAAACGAAATGAAATTCTACTGATTTTTTTCTTCAAAATTTGTTTCTTCAAGTCATTAGAATGACAAAGCGCAGATTTGCACCCACAAATTTGCACCAGTCCTAACACAGCAAAAGCAATATTAAATCAACATACCTGTGCTTGTGCAATTTAAAATGTTTTGAAAATGGGCTCTGGAATGGAAAGCTTGGCTGGACTTTAACTATGCAGAAATTACACCGCTCCCAAATAACAGAAAGTAAAACAAACAGACATTTATCTGACCAGCTGGGATTCCTGGTACTGCAAATATTGGATAGTATCTGCCACTATCTTAATACATCACCTGACAGGGCATTTAGGACTCTTTGTGATGAATAAATCCCCCAACATTAACACAAAGAAATGGTATTTGCTCTGTCTCAAAAGTTTTTCCAAGAAATCTATGTTCAGGGAGTATAGTATGGAATAAACCTTTAAAAAGAAACCTGCTGTTCATGTTTTAAAAGCATTGTGCTGAGTAATTGGAAGTTTTTACATTAAAAAGTTATTCATGCAAAATTTAGGAACGCTATGTAACAACAACAATCTCATCACTTATTATGAACATAATTATAACAAAATCAGTACACCTAACATTTTAGTGCATTTTTTCCCTTCATTCAGGTGTGTAAACATTTGCACCTTTATGTGCCCGAATGTCTTTAAAAACTAGCAGTAAGTAGGTATTTAGAGTATCTGACTTTATACATGATACCAGAGCAGTGAGGTGATTTAACACAGGGAGAGAGACGGAACTCCAGAGTTCAACTAAAAGCAACTATGGCTCTTAGTGTTGACAGCCATTCCAGAAGAACTTTTTGTATCCTGTGACTACACTGGAAAACTAGGGAGAACTCCCTCCTGACTTAGGTAACTCAAATCTGACAGTGCAATTAATTTGCTAAGTGACTTTCAAAAGATCTAGTGGAATTTGTGGCTGAGCAAGGAATGCAAACTGCAAGTCCAAAATTAGTACTCTAGCAATCAGGCCATCCTCCTTTATAACTATAAAGGTTTCTTCTTTCTAAAAATAAAGAAGGCAAAATATATTAATACTTCAGTACTCCTGACAGTAATCTCTAAGGCTAGTCTAAAAGGTGATTCTGCACTGAGCTGCAGTGCTCTGGAGTTGTTCAGTAGCCACTCTATTTTGAAAGCCTTTTTTTTTTTTTTTAATAGTACTAATGTTAACATTGCAAATAGAAAAATTTCACAGGCCTCTGGCCAAGAAATCAGAAAAGCCAGATTGTGTCACTAAAATGTCCTAATCATTCAAACATATATATGTTACTCTGAAAGTAATGCCTCCTACTTATTTCCATGGAAACTAAAACAGTTACAGAGAGCACAATAACACTATTTGATAGAGCAAATTCTCAGCTACAAAACACTGTTTTCCAACATAGTCTCACCTATTATCTGTGCATTTCCAGCAGTGATGAACAAGAGCCTGCGTTCTGTACTCATAAAAATCTGCTTGCCCATCTGGAATGTGGTTTGTCTTTCATGTCACTGACACTGCCGTTGAAACACACCGCACACCACCTCACTGTACTCACATCTACTGTTTGGTCTCCAGAAACGTACAGGAAGCATCAGTGAATGTCAGTGGGTGCCATTTTTTCTGCATGGAAGAATTCATAGACACACCTTTGCTTCATACATACTTCCACGTCAGATGCCATTTTGTCAGACTGCCCCTCTGTTACATGGGTCACATAAAATGTAATAGAGTATTGGTGGAAAGGTTCAACCTCTGTTGCCATACCGCCATCAACATCTGCCAACATAATAAAACAGGAGATACTGTGTTGTGAGCAAACATAGTAAAACAGGAGGCATTACTTTCAGAACAGTCCTTAAACGTGGTGCATGTTAGGTACCTTGCCTACATTCTTATTTACATTCTGTGAGCCTGCATGATTTTAGTGGGATAAGCTATTTTTCAATATATCTGGAAGCAGCCCATTGTTATTGCATTCAGCACAAATGTAATGCAATCAGTGAATAGGGTTAATTTTTGCACGGGCTGTTTTGCTTCATTGCAACTTAGATTCAGGCAAAAATGGGTGTACAGTTTCCACAATATTTTGAGTTTCCATGAGCAACAAGAATTTACCATCTAAATAGGACACCAGTCTTCTTTCAAAGTGGCTTTAAAAGAAACATATATTCCAATCTCTTTTATTAGGATAGCATTTACAGAACATTTCTCCTTTTGCTTATTTGAAAGGAAAATTTACCACTAAGTAATTTGTTAAGACATTAAAAACCCATTTTCTACAGATAGTTTGGCTGCCTCTCAAGCAAGGATGTAGGCTTCTATTGCAACATATTGGGAGCTTTTAAAACCAAAGCAATTCATAATAAATTTATTCAAATTGACACATTTCTGGTTACAATGCCTTCATTATTTCTTCAGAGTTACGAAACATGAATTATATCATTGTAACCACAACACCAGTCAAGGAAATCTAATTTGCTGTGAAGTATGTTTGTGAAGTCACCATGTAGTCAAAGGCATACATTCCATCATTTTCTTGTAACATTTTTTATATTAATGTTTTTCCAATGAATATGGTATTACACCCTCATTACGTTTTATTTTCAAATACATTCTTACACAGCAGTCTCTAAACTATATATAGCTACATAACAAATCAGAAATAATTATACCATTAAAATCTATTAGGTGTATACTGAAGTGTATTACAGATTTTTTTGTATATTTCAAACACCTTCTGTTTAAGCTGTATGTGTATTTTTTCATCATAGTTAGCTGACTAGCCAGTATTTTATTCAATTCAAATTAAAGCTGAATTAAATGAGCACAGCATAAAATTCCCAAACCATGAGAACAGAATCAACATGAATGAAAAAAAAAAGACATTTTAAAGCAAAATGGAAAGGTTCTCCATAAGTATTTTTTCTCTCTTAGACTTAATTTATTAAATTCTTCCAACAAAATGAAGCGATGTTTTTTTAAAGGAGCTGATAGCCTCTTTTACATCTTCCTGGATGGAAAGATTTTTTTTTCTCTTTCACTTTGCTGTCAGAAATGAAAGCTTGAACAGCAATTATTACAGGTCTGAATTTGCATTTTTCAGCAATCCGGAGAAATGAGAACAGCTATTGTTACGATCGTTATCGTTATGAAGTTTTGTCCACACTTCTTCTAACAAAGCTGTTGGTCAGCTGTTTGTTAGATGCCTTTCCAGTTATCAGATTATCTCATAATAAATCGAAAAGAACACCAGATAAAAATGATAGCTTCATGTATTCACAAATGATAAATTCTCTATAAATGAATCAACTGGATGCAGTGCCTATTACTAGCAACTAGCATAGGAAATTTGCAGAAGCTAAAAATACAGTGAGGACTTGTTTGTAAATAGCTGATAGGACTTTGTCTCCAAACCCTGTTCTCTTTCCACCAGTCCTCCTTGGTGAGGCAGCCTCTTAGAACTGAGAACTGACCTCTCAAGCTTAGTATTGAAGAGCTGAGTGAGGGAGAACGTTAAAAACACAATAGCTCTTAATAAAAACTTACTGGCTTGAAATACTTGTGAGGAGTAGCCTGGGAGAATAGAGTGCAAGATCCCTTCTGGAGTAGTGGGAGGCCTAGGCTACCTTTGCCAAAAATCAGACACATTCAGATCATTGTTTAACTGATCTGAGTAAAATAGGCAACCCCAGCCTTTCTCTGTAAATGAATATCTACAGACCTGCCTTGGATTACCTGCAAAGCCAGTTCAAGCATAGATCCACTAAAATGGTGTCTCAGAAGCTTCTCTTCTATATAAGTACCTGACAGGAAAATATGAAAGCCAAGCAGGGGGTTACTGTTCCTACGGAAGTTTGAAGCATGATTAGGTGATTATTTTTCTTACACTTTTCCCTTACAAAGATTATTTACTTGGTTGTCTTGTTGTTTGTTTCTTTGTCTTTCTCTTGGGGATTAGATGTCTGTACATCCCTTGTCTGTAAAGATGGAGCCTTGCATGGCATCCTCTGGTAAGTCTCAGGCCTGTATAGCTGCAAAATCTGTTGCTTCAGCAGTACTGTGGAAGACTGCAGTGAAGGACTACAGCTGCTGACAGTCTTTTTGCCACTGGCCTTTTACTGAACCTTCACTGCAGGGCCTGGGCAGCAACTGCCCATGTTCAGTCCATTGCAGCGTAAAGCAGGAGAAATGAAGTGAGGTTTTGGATCCTCCCACTTTTGTAATGCTTTGGAAATGAGAAAAGATTAACTTTCTCTGTAGAGGCTGGTAATCAAAACAGTGGGAATACTTCTTGTTTTTTTTTTCCTTGTCCTGCACAGGACACCATATATAAGCTCAGACAGATACTGAGAGAAAAGTTGAAAGACAGCATCTACATTTTCTGTACATTCCTTCCCTCTTTGTCTGCTGGTATGATCACACTCCCAAAGCTCTTGGTCTACCTTGCTGTACTCTATATGCAGACTGAGTAAGGGATGTACTAGAAGGGCCTTCCAAGAGGAGTGAACTCTGAGTCTGCTGAATGAAGGTGATATGACACAGTAGTGGCAGTAGTCATACAGAACAACTGAGGTATTGCCATTATTTCCAGAGTTCAGAGAGTGAATACTTTTCCAGTGTCCAGTTGCTGCATAACTAAGGAAAAAGAAGTAATCTAACAGGTACTGTAATTTGTTTTCATATTGGGATTCCATTTTTCAGAGATAATAGAATATATCAAATTTTGACCCTTTGCAAACAGGCTTCAACAAATTAATTGTTGAGTAAAAAACTGAATTTAATATTTACAGTGTAATTTCTCACTGGAATGAAGACTCAATTAGAGTCTCAATGATTTACTAAAGACATTTTAAACATAATGTCCAAATAATGCTACATAAATTAAACATGATGTAATTGAGTGAACCGCTAAGTGGCTCATCACTGTTGATTCATGTGGAAATCACGCAAATTTTACTGATCATTATGCATTTATTCAGTATTAATACAGATACCACATGTGCTTTCATAGTGATTCCATTGTTACTCAGCATTCATTAAGTTTTAATGTACCATTAAGAAGTTATCAAAAGACTCATCTAAAAATAACACCACAAAGGTAGTTCATTTAAAGACAGTTAAAGAAGCATAATTCACTTTAATATTGAAATACAAATTAAGTCAATAATGAATCAGCAGAAAAAAATTTAGGCTGTTTAATTGCAAATAAGACCAGAAAAAATATTTGAAGTAAAAGCATTCTCCATGTTCCAGATTTCTGGACAGGTAGCAACATTTCTATGCAAAAGTGATCATGCAGATAAGTACATGGCCTTCCTTCAACTGATGCTGTACACTAACCTTCAGTATAGTCATTCACTACAGTGGAAATACTATTTTTAAAAAGAGAAGAGTACAAATTATGGCCAGATTACCTATCATATTCAGTTTGTTGGATGGGGAGCAAAAAGAGATGAGAAAACCAGAGCAATGTTAGTAGCTTGTGCAAAGCACCCTCTTTTTTCCATTTTTTGCCTGCTAGGCCTCACAATGTGCTTCTGCTAGCAAAATGTTTTTTCACAAGTGAACTCTAACATGTAAGCACAGGTCGGTCAGTCTCACCTCAGTGCTTGGCAAATTCATGGAGCAGACCCTCCTGAAAACTATATTAAGGCACATGAAAAACAAAGGTGATTGGTGACAGCCGACATGGCTTCACTAAGGGCAAATCATGCCTGACAAATTTAGTGACCTTCTGTAACGGCATTACAGGATTGGATAAGAGATCAACTGATGCCATCCACCTGGAGTTGTGCAAAACATTCGACATATAAGCACATGACATCCTTGTCTTTAAGGGATTTCACCTTCATGCAATTCCTGCATTAAATAGGGTCAACAGAAATTTCCATCAGAAAAACTGATTGAAAACTCTTATGTAAAGGTGGTACATATTAGTCAAAGGGATGTCCTTATTGTAAGTTGGAGCTAATGAACAACTATCACAGTAAACCGAGCAACGTACATACCATAACCTTAAGTTTTTAAATATTTTGTTCACTGGCTAGATGAAAAGACCATCTTTGAATCAGATGATCACAGCTGTGACTAAATATGACTTAGCAAGTTCCAGTTCAACTGGATACATAGCAATTTAGAACCATTACGTGGAACTATCTCTCATAAACTGTTGATCTTGGAAGGAGACAAATGTATCCTACAAGTCACTCATTATAGAAAATAGCCTTCTTTCATTATTTGCCTTAGAAACACGCAATTGTTAGCTTCCCTCAAACAAGGAAAAGCCTAACCTAAAAACTGTGCTGTACATCCACGCCACAACAGATACCATGATATGAGAAATCACCCTTGTGTAAAACCACTTATTGTACATGAAGACATGCATGGCACAAACAGAGTGAATTGGGACTGGTGATCAATGCCTCTTTCGGTAAAAGAATGAGAAAGGATAAAAGCCAGAAAGTGGAAGTTTACAACAAACAAACAAGACAATTCTCCAGTTAACACGTGGTTAAGGTAAGTCACTGCTCAAAGTTTACAAGAGTTGAAATAATGAATAACCAATTCTTGATCAAGAAAGCTTATTTAGGCCTATGAAGTACATAGAAGTAATTTTCACTGTGGAATTATCTGAGCTAAGAACTGTTGAGATCATAGCTAAAGTAGTTATTCTATGTGCGTGCTATAATCTTATGCTTTTCCCTAAGTATCAGTTTCAATCCTTGTGAAGAGCCAAGAAATAGGCTTTGCAAACAATCAGTTTGACCCATACAGCTTTTATTCTTTAAAGTTGAAGCAGTTTATTGCTTGAAGATAGCACTGTTACCACCTGCTCTGGTGGAGCAACTTTTGTGTGTGAAACATGGTTATGTCATTCTAACCATATTTCTTTCTTTAAATAAAAAACAAAACAAAAACAAAAAACCATTAAACCAACACTATTTCTTTAATCTTGATTAGTTACATTATCTGAAGATCCTACAGTTCTTGTTCTACTCTCCTGCTTACCCAAATTGCTTAACACTTTCAGGTTATCAATCTGAAATACCTGCTTTTTATCAGGTTTTTCTTTGTTTGTTTGTTTTTCCTTTCTGAGACAGAATTGTTCCTGCTGGATTCAAGCTTGAGGTCTGCTATACTGCTTTCCCTCCTGATTAGTAGTGCTAATTAGCAGTGCCTACTGATCAGTAGGCAACTAACATTTCCCCTCTTCACCAAATTCTGTTACTGAATGAATGTAGTAGTTTCTGCAGCTGGCAACAGCTCCTCCTGCCCAAATTTACTGTTGAAGAATTAACCTTATCAGTACTACAGCTTTTGAAAAGGGTTAACAGCACACCCATCCTTGAAGTGAGGCACCTGACCACGTAAGCGCTTGGATGTCCATTTTTCTCCCAGTCCTCTACAATTTAAAAGGAAGTAATTTGTGATCCACTTCTTCACCTTTGTTTTACCCTCTTTGCATCACACAGGCATTGGAGTTTAGAACTGCAGCAGTTTAGCACGCTGTAGGGGCTTGCTTTGTATGTGAACATTATAAATGCAAGTGTACCCTGATGTGGTCCATATCTGTGTGTCTCAGTAAGTTTCAGATTCCAGAAAGCATTTAACTGACTTGCAGCATTTGAAGAAATTGAATAGTTTCTGCTGACCAGATCAATCATGTTTAGCCAAAGTGACCAAATGCATCTCTCTCCACATTTCTGTTTAGTTCAAACGTTTCATTTAGAAAATTGCCACTGATATTACAGAAGATGATTTTCACTTTCTGTTAAATCAGAGATAAATTTATTTCACAGTTGCTTAAGGATTTATGTTTTTGTTCTTACTTTACCTTTCCAGTGTAGCCATTGAGTCTTAGTTCTTGCTCAGGAGCATACATTAAAATAGAAGAGAGGAAACATACAGGCAAACATACAACCAGCTGGGGGGAGACAAAGTTGACTGCAACAGTAGCTTATTCATTATTTTTGTCGGTAGAAATATATCAACCATTAAGAAGTCTGCTAGTGGTTAATGTGCAGTAGCACTAGTACACTAAGTACACTAGCACTTGGCAAGTAGCCACCGTTGGCCAGATTTATACAACAATTTCTGCAGCTGCAGCTTCTGTGGTCTTAGATCTCCCCCTGCACTGAGATAGGCAACAATTCTTTACCCCGTGGATGTTCAGTATTGCATAAGAAGGCCCATTATTTAAAATTCCTGTTCTTGTATTTTATCACATTTCAAAATTAATTTCTATGCACTCTGCTGTGTTACTGTGTTCTTACTGCTCTGGCTATGATGATATTAAATATCACAAGCTAAGCAAGGTCAGTCTAGCTTAGTACTCAGAGCAAAAGCTTCACGCAAGCATGTTTACCCTCTGTGTGATACAAGAGAGATTGCTTTGAAGACAAAAATAGGAGGTCTAAGAGGTCTGTTCACATGATGTGACAATTTTAGTTATGCGGAGGTGAAAGCCTCAGCTCTCCAGAGAAACTGTATTCTAAATAATTGTATTTTCCATATCTTTCAACATTTGCAAAAGATTCATCTATGTCATTTTAGTGCTACAGTCTACACCCGACAGATACGTACAAAACACTTATCTACAACCACATCTCAGTTTCAGTGTTTCAAACCAGTGGAATCCTTATCTGAAAGTAAAGGCTATCAGCCAGTAGGCTTCTTTAAAGCCCTCACATAGCCTATGTTCCATGTTTTCTCCTTTGGACCTCCGTATGAAATTATTTCAATTAGCAAAATTCTCTAATGAGCACATTGATGTAAAAAAAAAATGCACTATTCTTTTTTCCATTCTTACCTATTAGAATTTAAATATCTGAATGCTACATGAAAGTAAGATACTATTTTAAACCACCAAACCTTATGCAGTAACATAACCTCATGCAGTAATCTCTGCATCAAGCTTATGATTTATGATCTTCACATATACAGTATAATGACTAATTCAAAGTTTTTTTTGTGGGAAGTTGCTTTAATGGTTAATTTTTCTCTCTTGTTAGAAACGTTGACCTTCTTATGCGAGTCTTAGAGCTTTGACTCCCATTAGTGTCAGCAGCACACTAATTCATAAATCAGAGCAGGCTTAAATTTACACCTAAGAAATGAACAGAGACAGCTGTAAAGGAGTGATGACTGTAGTAAAAGAGAAACAGCTTAATATTTCAAGAATCACTGACCCAGTATAGACATCCTTAGGTGCTGTCCTAGTTCATTTAGCAAGAATGTCTAATCAAAGCCCCTGTGTACCTTAAGTGACATTATTTCATTAATTAATAATCTGATTAGTCCTCCTGACAGCATACTGTGAGACATTCAGGGATCCTTCACACTCGAAGATGTGAAAATATCTTAACTGTTGAACAAATGTGCAATTGATAAGTTCAATATGAAATTCAGATATGAAGGAAATTTGCAGAGAATTGTAAAACGGCAATGCACCATTGCTTTGACATCATGTGAACACAGCAACAGTAAAAACAGAACCCCTTACACTGACAATTGCCCTATTTTTAAAGTTTAAATGGAAACCTTCTCATCTTTGAAGACTAAGGGAATACTTACTGAACATTTCTTAGCACACTACAAATTTTCATCTTCACAGTAAACTGAATTACAGGAGACTTCTGCAGATTTATAGTTCACTTAACTCATTGCAACTAGATACCACAGCTGCATAAAAATGCAGACAAATCAGATGGTTAAATTGATAAGTGTTTGATAGATATGTAAATACTTTTGAATATTCAGGTGATGATCTGTCTCCAGTTTTTGACACTAAATTACTAAGGGAATATAATATTTAATTCATACATGGCACACAGGTATACTATGAAGAATCATGCCAATGCAATGAAATTAAAATAATAGTTAAGGCTTTGCATTTTAGATATTTCAGTTTATTCTCTCCAAGGAAAAGGACCAAGGGAAAGGTCAATCAGCAAGCTATTTTTTTCTGGAGGAGTTCAAACTGATCTTAAAGCTTCCCCTTCCTCATCAAGAACTCCGTCGCCTTTTTACTGAGTAACGCTTGGGTCACTAAAACTAGCAAAATCTCTTCTTATATTTCCCAATTCAGTTATACGTAGGTTGCTCTTAAACTAATGCCTTAACTTATTTCCATGGAAAATACAACAGATACCAAAGCACAATAGCACTGCTTGATGGAGCAAATTCTCAGCTACAAAACATTACTTTTTAACATAATCACCACCATTAGTTATGCGTTTTCACCAGTGATGAACATCCATTGCCAAGCATGTGTGATCACAAGCCTCATGGTCCATATCCACATCATTTTAATGACTGATGGTATTCCTTTATCTTAGAGATCTTCATGCTATATGGTACCATATAGTATCAAATCACAAGTAGTGAGCAAAAACTAGGGCACTGATTACTAAATATATTTCCTAGAATAGCAGCATCCAGTGGTTTAACATCTTTCAGCTGCAAATATGAGAGCTCTTCTCTTGGCGTCAAGGCCTCTAGTCACCACTGATGATTTCCAAGTATTCTCTGGTGATGAATTAAGCTCTCCCATCAAAACAGCTTCCCTTTTCCAGGTAGCTCTTAATTGTATTAATTAAAGCAGTTGTCTTGATTTTATTCCTCTGCAGAGTGAATAAAAGAATAAACTTTAATAACTAAAATATTTGTTTTAACTACTAGTTTTTCTCCCAGCCATCCATTATTTACAAAGCCTTAAAGGCAGAATCAGAGCAAGATTCTCTTGTGCTATACCAGTATCTGCTGTTTCGTGATGAAAGAAAACTGTATGTCTTTACTAGGGTCTGTTATTTTGTCCATACAATTATACTGACATAATATTTACTGCAGAGTCCTTCATTTTCTTCCCCAAACATTTTGTTTACTGTTCAAAAGCAGCAAAAGGTATGAGAAATAGTTGCCTTGTGTTGGAAAACATCTCTAGTACCATTCCCCAAACTAAGTATTTTTGGGCCAAAACAAAAACATACAGATATTTTCCATGCACGTAAGTCATCCACAACAAAAATTTACTTCTGCCAAGCTTAGGCTTGCTGTTGCTAGAAAAACTTGCTTTATCACTTAAGAAGATGTTTTCTTGTTTGAACAATTAACAAACACATCAAGTTAATCACCAAGAGTTTTAATAGAAGAGTTTAAGAAAAAAACACATCTCTAGCAATATAATAGCAAAATATTAAAATCTCTTACACGTATGCTGGAAGAAGGGAGAAAGGGAAAGTTTTGCTAAGCAATCTTGCCAGCTAGTAACAGAAAAATTTCAATTGTATTGTATTGACAAATTTCACAGTACTGCTGCATGTAGACATTTAAGCCAATTACCAAGCAAGTTCAGTTACGCAGATGAGAAACCCTACAATTCAGGAAAGATGTTTTTAGTCTTAATCTCTATTACATACAAATTTGTTTGCCTTCAGGAGTTCACATCAAAGGGCAGCATAATTTTAACATGGAAGTGAGAAATACAATAGTAGTACAGTAGCCAAATGCAAATAAAAGAACAACAAAGCAAGGTTATTTAATCTTTCCCAAAACCCAGAATGTTTGGACTCCACACACTTGGTTGAAATAATGAACTATCATGTAGTCTACAGATGGAGATTACATTGTAGAAAATAAGATTTAGTCACCTCCAGCAGAGAAAACAAAAGTTTGAGAGCAAGTATGTAACCCTCTCCCACCCAAGATACAAACAACTACTTTGCAGTGCAACCTCTCTGTGCCAGTTATAGATCAGCGTGTTGTACAGGAATGCTTAAAAAACGGAATTCAAATATCACAACAAACACAGATGCTTTGTAGATTGCTAGGAATGTGTTACCATCTTCAAGACTGTCCCTCAAGACAAAGAAATCTATAAAGTACAACCCAGTTAGGTGCTACAAAGCAATTACCTCTTCTATCTCAATAATTTCAAGAGAAAGATGAAGCGGTGTTTTACAGACAGATCCCAAAACAGGTCTTTTGAACTACCACGTAAGGTTTCTCCTTGGAATCAGCCCTTAACTGGAGGCAAGAACTGGGAGGAAAAGGAAGTGGTGGCAAGCACTGACAGAGGACTAAGTTGTAGGTATGAAAATACAAGAGAACAGCAGCGAACACATGTTCATCAGTTCTCTTTATGAACTTTATTCACTAAAATCTTCGAAGGGTTTCAGCATTAGGTTAACACTGTTTTACTTGTGATCAGTAATTGAGCCTGTATTAGAAAAGTAATGGGATTTCTGAGATTATTGCACAAAAACCTGGCAGCAAACCACCAACAACCTGTTGAAATGCACATACAGATCAGTTTCTGAAAATGAGTTATGCAGTGACTCTAAAGTATAAAATAAATATGTTGTTAAAGAATAGAAACTAAATATAATTATTTTTATTTAAATCAAATCCAGCAAGAAAATATTTTAATATGGCAAATATCCCAGCTGCATATCCATAATCTAGCTATTTCATCATGAACGTGACCCAATATCCACTCTCCCAAAAAGTCTCATCTTGACAAGGAATGCAAAATAGATAAAATATAATAGGAAACATTTTCTTTTTATATATTTATATATATATATTCATTCCAATTTTGGTATTTAACGCTTAGTCTCTATAAATAGAAGCTCTCTGACACAAGAATGCTTTATAAGTGTATTATCATGCTGTTTTAAGATTAAAATATTTTATATGAACAAGTGCAAAGTTCATTCTTATTCAAATATCCAATTATACATTTTTAAAATTTCATTAAGTATCAAAATTGGAATTTGCATTTTATCCAGAAGTGACTGTATACTGATGAACATTTAAAAATATATCTAGTTCACAAAAGGCGTTGTTCATCTGAGTGCTAGGGAAACAGTATATACAATTACTCAAAGAGAAGATTACAAACATCATGTAGTGCTACTGTTAAGAAAAGTTTAAGTAGTACAAAAATTGCCAATAATTTATGCCCTGATTTTTTTTTTCTTTTAATATATTCTACCAGGAAAAAATTCAAGGAGATTTAAAACCAAAATACTATCCCAACTACATCAGCTGCCGGAACAAAATCTTTTTTTTTTTTTTTTTTTTTTTTTTTTTTTTTTTTTAAAGAGAAACAAAAGTATCACATACAGTTTATCACATATACTTTTCTACTAATTACAAATTTAATTTAACAAAGTAATACGGAGGCAGCATGTGGTAGATTTAAATTCATACAATCTGTTAAAGTAATATGCAACTGAAAATTAATGATCTAAAATCCTTAGATTGCTTTAAATCTGTAATTTCAGCATACTGCTACATTTGTTCTATCTTGAAGGCTGAAATCAACAAATTTTTGACATTCATTCCCGCATAAGCAGAGCTCATCTGCACCTTCTCTTAAACCTTTTTAGCAGCATAATCAGCTTTATATAGAGAAAATTATTACCATAATTTACATATTCTAATAATCTTTTCCAAGGCATCAAAGGAACCCAGTGTCATATTCCTATACCAACTGATAAAAATATACTAATCACTTTCAAAAACTGGTAGTTACTGTTAGGGTGGCCTATGAAGCAGCAGTAAAGTGCAAAATATTGGGTATAATATCTAGTGATCCGCTTTCGCTTCTGTGGAATACAAATGGTTACGCCTGGCTCTCCCATTGACAGATACAGCGTTTGATGGAGGACCAACCTGAATGGAGGGAAAAAAGAGAAAAAGGAAATATTAACCTAACTTTTAACATGCTTCTGTCTGGAGTGTGTTACAGGGTATTAATTTAAGAAAAGTGTGATACTGTTCCTTCAGTTAATGCTCTTCTCACACAATGAACCATCTCCTACATCATCTCTGAACAAAGCACATATATGCTGCAGAAGTAGCATTAAATGTTTTTAAGTAATTTCAAACACTTCTGTCAAAAACTTCAGTGCATAACTATTAAAAACATGTAAATTTTTGTCAATCTCCAGACCTGGTTGAAAAGAAATATATGAAAAAATCATTCAAAACAAATATTTTAAATAAAATATTGAATAGAACTGATTTTTAACAAAATCTGACAGTCATTTATGACATAGGAATCTTTCTTGGAGCAAACAACTTTAAGGATAGATAGCAAAGAACTGCTTTTCACTGTAGCTGCATAAACCAGTAACTCCAGATGGAGTTAATGAGAGCCATGTGAGCAGCATACCACAGCACGGAATTTACTAAACAAAATGAAAACATTTTGAAGAGGAAAATAGTTAAAAAGAAACCTCAGTTGACCCATTTTAGGTTCGTAATTACTGAGGGTCCTATTCAATGTAAAAGGACAGAAACACAAAAGGCCACAGATCTTGGCATTGCATACTGACAACTTATTAAGTAAAACAGAAAAAAGAAGATTTGGATAGTGGTGCCAGCTTCCCCCCCACTTTTTACTAAATGACTCCCTCATAGAGCTGAAAGAATAGAGAATATGTTGAGAGGTAAATACAGAAGCAGGCACCTGACAGATCTTTCCCCACTTTTTTCTGTTGCTTTCTACATTACAGCATGCTTTTATTCATGCTCAAAGCCTTTCATTCTAATTGGTTTTCCTGTCTTTACCCCCAGTCTCTGCAGATGCTACATGGGGAAAGAACATCTCCCACTCACAGAAGAGTGAGAGAGGGACAGGGGAAGAGAGTTTTTAGTCATCGCTTCGCTCTTCGTAACGCCATACACACATGTATGACTGGTAAGGACTATGTGGGCTAAAGATACACTGAAACATCTCTATTAGAAAATAATGAACAACCATATCACTTTTTTTTTTGTCTTTAGTATGTTCAGTAACAACAGATTTCTTGAATTCTGAAAAGCACTTCACAAATTTATTTTTAAAATACTTGCGAGTTACTGTGTAGCCTGCAGATATTTCCCATAGAATCATAAAACAAAGTTATACACTATGCAAAATAAATGAAAGTATTATTCACAGTGTCATTGGAAAAAATACCTTAATAAAAATGCTTGAAAATACATGAGCTGCTCTGAAAGCAATGCCTCCTATTTTATTACATTGGCTCATAATATCAGAGGCAGATGTTGGTGGTACGGTTGAACCTTCCCACCTATCTTCTGTTACATTTTGTTGTCACGTGACAGATAGCAGCAGAGGGGCAGTCTGATGTGAAAGTGCACATGAAGCAGAGGTGTATCATTAAAATCTTCCTCGCAGAAAAAATGGCATCTATTGACATTCATCAACTTGCTGAACATTTATGGAGACCAACAGTGGATGCAAGCACAGTGAGGTTGTGGGTACTGCATTTCAGCAAGTAGTGACAGTGGGTCTCCTCCACTGGTGCAGATTATTACAAGCATAGCCTTATAGGCTCCTGTTCATTGCTGGTGAAAACGTATAGATAATGGTTGTACTTATGTTGAAAAATAGTTTTGTAGATGAGAATTTGTTCTATTAGATACTATTATTGTGTTCTTTGTATCTATTGTAGTTTCCATAGAAACAAATAGAAGGCATTACTTTCAGAGTGGCCTACATGTATTTGTGCAATCAAATAGGTATAGAAAAAAAAAATCAGATGGAACAGAGAGACATGACCTTTTAAGCTCCTCTGAACAATACAGTATTTGCTTCATCTGAACCTGTTTTTAAAGTGGCTTGTAGTTAGTGATATATAGAGGTTAGAAACAACACTCAGCGCATTATGTAGCACTCTTACTGACTACTAGTTAAGCATGCTTATCTAGCTGTGGACAAACTATGCATTTTTATAACCTTTGTAGGAAACAATTTTCCTATTCAGCATAGAAATACCAGGAAATCTGTGTCAGAGAGACTGTTGCAGTGCAATGCTGAATCAAAATCTCAGGTATTTAAAACAGGTGATTCTAATATCTACCCATCAACTGACATATTTTGATCATAGGGGAAATAAAAATTTCAATTAACAATAATTTTAAAATACCCTCACATCCACTCACAACACTTCACTTGCTTTTATTCAAGTTTCAAGTGGGAAAGGGAAGGAAAACAAAACCTACTGAGTTACTTAAGTTTCTGCAATGAGAACTTATTCTTCAATACAGAATGCAAAATATTAATGCTGAGTCAAGAGAGTTTTGTGTGAGACTATCATTAAATTGTCTGGTTACAAATCTAAAACAATAGATTTTTAAAGTCTGCACTATTTTACCCTGTGAGAGTGCATCTTAGGAGGCAGAAACCAAGCATCATTTTTTACCTTAGGGAGTGAAGGAAAACAGTCCTACCAGGACTATCGACAAAATATTGAGAAATCTCTTACTAATGATGCCAAGCAGGAGGCTTGAAATACATTTACTAAGAATTAGGGAACTGATATAGTCTAATAACTAGAAAAAACAAATATTCGAAACTTCTATCTACCTGACTAGAAAAGACTGCAGCTGAGTCTAGGATGAAGCTGCTTAGCATGTGCTTAAAATCATATATTTGTGCTATCTGAATACATGAACATACAAAGCTGTGTATACATTCACCAGTTCATTCTGCAAAACTGAACTCTCCTCCCACCTCCCTTCCCATGAAGAGACCCCATTCATAGCACTTCATGTCCAAGCTAACTGTATTTAGTGTCAGGCATTAATACGGTAATCTTGAAGGATGCACCATGAGTTCATTGTTATGGATGCAATGATGGAAAACTCACCCTTTTCAATCTGGCAGCGGCTTCTCCAGAGCGGATTGCAGCCAGCAAGCTCTGGTGGATCTGTTCTGGGTCAGAGCGCTGGACTGGCATTGAGGTTTGTCTCACAATGACAGGGCGTGAGCGGTCAGCTGAAGCACCTGACTGTGCCTGAATCTGTTGCTCATTATTGCTCACATTGCTGCTTTTCTAGAAACAGAGGAAGTGAGAAGGACAAAAACAAACAAACAAATAAACATCCTTTAATGTTCATTAGCTAATTAGCAGCAAGGAAAAAACTAAGTCAACTCACATGAAGTCACATATCAAACTGTGCCACTATAATATTTGCTTTGTTCAAGCTCTCAGGTATTAGCCACATTTCTACTATAGCTCTGGGAACAGATCTTCAATTTAGCAGCAACAAAAAAGATATAAGCCAAAAGGAACTTACGAAACTTATTAAAATGATGAAGTAATTCCTTCAAGATGAGCATGTGATACCACAAAGTGATATGATATGGAAAAAACATTCCAAAAGGAAACATAAATATAAAAATAATAAATCAAGCACTCAGAAAACCCATGATTTTATAACTTGAAATTATACCTCAAGTAAATAGGAAAATATTCAAGCATTACAACTGGTTGAGATCCATTGGTTTTTGTTGTTGTTGTTGCTGTTTTCCTGATGACTTGACAGGCTTTTACTCCAAAATGTGACCACCTAAATTTAGGTCCCTTGACACCACACTGTAGCATAATTAAGCACTGCTTGAAAATTGAAATTTCTAACAAAGATCAGTTATAAAGTATTCCCAGATAAGTGCCATAATCACCACAACATTTATTTTACTAATGCATTTGTATGAAAAATCTAAATTTGACATAAAACATCCCAGAAGAAGCCACTTTGGAAAGTTTGTCAACATGTTTTGAACCGCAAGCAGAGAGGAAGAAAAGCATTACTGTATTTTGAATCTACCGAACAAAGATTAGCCTCTAACTTCCATACCTGAAGAAAATGGTCATTACAAAAACAGAGTTTCGAATAGTACTGCTTCTTGTCAGAATACTGCAGAACTGTACAGAATACACAAGACAGCCAGCATCTACACATCACAGATTTATGGATGTGTCAAGCTCCCAGAACAGCTCGAAATGGCTCTCTGAATTATGGTATATTTCCATCTACACATTTGCAACATTAATACCTTAGTGGATTTTTATGACTTTTTTTTTTAATTTATTTTTTAAAGTTTCTCTCACTCAGTTCTCTCACCTGGTTCAAGTGTTTCTGCCATGATCACTTGAACCAAAACTCATCACATTACTCAAAATTAAAGAAACCAATGTACCAAACCATAAAAAAACACAAACCCTCTGAACATGAAAACAGGTATATACAGTATAAGTAAATGATTGTTTAATTCACTGCTCTTCCAAGTTTTAGATGCTAGTTATGGCAAGAAGTAATTATTTCTAGTACTCAAAATGAGACTGTTTTCATCTTAGCTAGCATTCCCTTTTTTCTAGTATTTCATTATAATGCTGTGCTACTCCCAGACACCAGAGGTTGTTCACATTGTATCAGTACAGCACTTTCTGATAAGCAAGCAGTTCAGAGATAAGCCAAAGTCTCTGCTCTGCTGAAGATGACATTACAGTGGATCACTGATAAATATATATATTAGTAATAAAGTTTACCTTATCCATTAGACTATTCTGTGGCCCTCCCGTGATGCTGTGTAAGGAAGGCTTTTTCAGTTGAGGCATGGAGGCAGCTGAGGACAATTCAGCTGTAGAAGAGGCAGATGAGAGTTCAACAGGAAATTCTTCTCTTGGTGCCAGGCTAGAGGTTGTACGCGTTTTATTGAATGACTGTGATCTTTTGACTGCTGAGGAGACAGCAAGTGCAAAAGGGGATGGCCTCGAACTGGAGTATGGCTTTGGAACTGCAAAAGTTCTTAGAGTTTTTAGGTTCAATGGTGCTGGCTGACAGGAGGGAAAACTGGGTGGTTTATTGTTTTTAACAGGAGAAGTGGAGGATTCAATTTTTTTCCCATCATCATCTTTTTCTTCATCTGCTGGAGAAGAGGAGCTACTTGTTGTATGTAATGAAGAAGTTTCATCAGGTGATGAGATATTTTTTTTCATCTCTGTATTTTTAACTTCATTTTGAATGGAATTAGGAGCACAAATGGTACTTCTGGCAATTGCAGATGACACATAATGACCTGAAACTCTGCGCTGCATCTGCAGATAAAAAGAACTAGGCTTAGTTGTAGGACTTAGTGCATTTGACTTCTCCTGAGTCTCAGAAGAAGCATTTGAATTACTTAAGCTTAGCATTAGTGGAACGTGCTGTTTAGAAGACATTGTTTCTATTTGATTGACCTCAGTGGTAACCCTAGCTCCAGAGGGCACCCCATGTTCAGAAATGCTGTTCACTCTGTGCAGCAGATCATTTTTTGCAGCAGGTATATTTTGCAGACCAGTCTGTAAGTGACCTGTACTTTTTGGAAGATGAGGAATTTCAGTTTGCATGATGAATTCTTTGGCGTCTTCATACTTCAGAGAGTTTTTGGAAGCAGCTACCTCTTGATCCTTACAATCTCTAGCTTCTGATTCCCAGCTCTTCATTGTTTCCAAGGATTTTGGAGGAGGCACAATTTTGTAAGTAGTCATTCCAATTTTTGGTATGTAATCTCTTGTAATTTCATTAGCAGGCTTAGGTTTAGGTTTCATGTCTTGTCTATAAAGAGGGTAACACCTTATAGGAGACCCATCTGGAGTTTTTGTAATTGTTTCTGGCGAACTAACATTACTGCCATTTGTACAAATATGAATTTCATCTTTCATGGGTATCATTTTTTCATATGAAACTTCTTGTCTCTGAAGATTTTCTTCTGTTGAAGTTTCTTCATTCTTACATATTCCTTGCATCACCCGAAGACCAGGGTTGTTTGTGTCTGTACTGTGTTGAAGGACCATTCCTTTGAATGTGGATGATTCATAGTCTTGGGGGACAAACATTTCTTTCTGCGCAGTCCTTTCCAAATTGCTAACTAATGGACCTGTCTGAATTGCAACATCCTGAGTTTTTACGGTGTCCAGGTTGGTTTGACTTGCTTTCTGATCTTGCTTTCCTGGAATCAGTTGAGTGTAATTCCTATGACTTATGGCAATGTCATTTTTAGACACTTGGCAGTTTGATAGTCTGT